ATTGGGTTTGACCCTGGCGACGACGTCGTCCCACTAGACGTTTCACGTGACAGTGGACGTCACGGTTCTCATCGAGAAGAGTTGGTGGCGGGCGGTGACTCGTGATGTCCTTCGAGCACTTGAGGACGAGGTCCTTCGTGGTCGGAGCTACGCAGAGCGTCATGCTGAAGTAGCATATTGCTGTGAGGACGCTTTTGACGATTTGAAGCACATCGTGCGCCGGCTGCCTAACCTTGAGAACGACCGCGCTCTGTCTGAGCGACTCCTAGCCGTGGAGCAGACGAATGCGTCGCTGCATGCGACGGTGGAGCGCTTGGCGCCATTAAAATGGAAGTTGTTGCACTCCGTGCTCAGAACCAGTTGCTGGTTCAGCTTTTGGGTGGCCGAAGGCCCGTGGGGCCCGCTCCAGTGCCAACGCTTCCATGTTCACTTGCGCCGGGTCCCGGTACGGCTTGAGCAAGCCCACATAAAACACCGGGTTGGTGCGCATCCGTTTTGGAAGGTTCAGCGTATACGCTAGGCCCCACTCCGCCACAATCTTAAACGGTCCGATAAACCGTGTACGAAGCTTTGTCCGAAAGATAGCACAGGCTGCATGTGTAGGCAGGTTTTTTTAATATATTAAAACCAGGTACCCGACCTTAAAGCTTTCCATTTTGCCTCTCCCTTTTCATCTGCATATTCTTTCTGCAGGTCTTTGCTTTCAGCCATCGCATCGCAAACGTGTCGTAGGACACTCAGTCTGGTAGAAAAGAAGTCATCGACGTTTTTACGGATGGTGAGGGGGCTGACATCAGCTAGCCTTTCGGCTATTACTCTCCCCGCCAAACCAGAAGTCATGGAATGGCGGCGTCAGCGGAACGCGAGGGTAACCAAGCCCGTTGACGTCGAACGGCGTGTAGCCGGTAGACGAATGCACTGCATTGTTCAGTGCAAACGCCATGAGTGGCAACATGGCGCTCCAGCGCCTCGGCGTCTCAACGCAGACGCTGCGAAGAAGAACGTCTACGATGACGCGATTCACCTCTTCGGTTTGACCATCGGTCTGTGGATGATCCGCTGTCGACTTATCTAACTTGGCGCCGAAGATAGTCGACCAAACTTTTCCCGTAAAACGGGGTCTCTACCAGATACAAACGTGTCAGGGAGTCCGTGTTGTCGGAAAACATGATCCACGAACAGCGTTGCTGTACCGACTCCGTCGATGTTACGCCAAATAAGCCATCTTGCTCAACCGGTCGACGAATACCACGACACCCGAGCTACCCGCAGAATATTTCAGCAGGCCAAACCCAAAGTCCGAACGCATGGACTGCCAGCACTTAGTGGGTACCAGTAAACTGGCCAGCGGCGCAGTTGCATTTAGAGAGGGTTTCACCCGTTGACACGTCTCACACGCGCGCACACAGGTGCTCGTTCATTTGTACAACTTGAGCCACCAATAGTGGTGACTCACAGAGTTGTACGTGTTCTCACGACCAAGTTGACCACTGAGAGGCGAGTCGTGAGCCTCATAGAGAATGCGGTATTCCAAATTCTCATCATGAGGAACCACAATTCGTCGTATATCCGTTGAGTCAGTGCTAAGAAATAGCAACCCATTATTCAACGAATATTGGTGTAATCGTGCACGCAGTCTTGGCGACAATTTCTTTCCGAGTTTCCAACCTCCTTGCCCCCGAGAGCCCGCAGCAACGCTGCACAAACCTCATCCCCCGCATACGCGGTGCGGATCAAATCCGTCATAGACGACATTACAGTTGTAACATTAACAAGCTTATAGTCTTGGCTGCGTGACAACGCGTCAGACAAAGCATTCTGCTTTCCCGGCTTATACTTCAGCTTGGGGTTATATTCCGCAAAGAAGGATAACCATCAAGCCATCCTCTGCGAGAGGTGGGGCGACTGAGGAGCAGTGCGTTGTGACGCATGATCTGTAAAGATCACAAACGGCTTGGAGCGGAGCAGGTGGACTCTGAACTTGACAAGTGCATACATCTTCGCAAGTAGCGACTTGTCATGAACAGGGTTGTTCTTTTCTGCAGCTTTGAGCTAACAGAATTTGAACGTGATCACCCGTTTTCGCCCCTCGGCGTCTGCTTGCAGCAGTGTACAGACGACGCTGAAAGGACGATCAAGGTCTGGCAGCGCCTGTATTGGTGCATGCAGGAGGCTGTCTTTGACCCCGTCAAATCCCTCCTGATGTTCGGTGTTCCAACACCATTCCGCATCCTTCTAAAGGTGATTGGATAATGACGGGTCATTTTTGCGTACTTTACGCTGTACTTGTGCAAGTAATTGGCAAGACCAAGCCACTTACGCAAGTCCTTCT